TTTAAGAACTGCTTGGCCCATGAACTCTAGCCCTTACAGGCTAATTCTCGCACCTGGACTAGCCCATTTCTAATGATGTGTGTAAGCACCCCAAGGTGCGCTTACCGGGAAGATTCTAGCCTAGGTCCATCCTGGGTTGGAGTTGCCTGGGAGAGCGGAGCATGGCGTCTCTGCCCCACAGCAGAGCTGTCGAGTCTGTCCAGGAGCAGAGCAGAGTCTGACCTCACTTCCTCTTCCGCCCAGAATTCTATTCTGTTTACTCCTCCCATCTATGTTCTAAGCTATGAGGCCAAGCAGTTGGTTTATTATAATTAACCAATGACCTTCCTCCATCAGAAATCTACACCTTTGTGTTTACCATAACTGGTTTTTGTCTTGTCCCATGAGTTCCCAGTTGTAGACTCGGGATCAAGCAAAATGTTTTAGGCTCCTGAATGATATGCCAAAATTGTAGGACAGTTAAAACTTTCCCTCCTTTCTCTAAAAGTTTTAGTATTTTTGAATCTCTGGAGCAAACTGGCAGTAAACAGGAGAAATACACAAATTTATTGTTTGCATGTGCAAAGAACCCTCATCAAATAAGGCATGTGGGTAAAGGATGTAGCCCAGTAGCCTTGCATGGGTGAGGTGTAGTCTTTAGCACCAACAAACAACTAAAAAGAACAGAGATTCTTATCTTTTTTTCTACCAGAACAAGTCATCCATTAATGTCCAAGAAGACATTAGAAAATGAGGTCTCTTTATATTCTCAGGATCTCTAGTTTACTTGTAGGACTCACAAGCTTAGTAATGATATACTGAATAAAATTTAAGGTTTTATCTTTTTTTTTTTTTTCCGAGACAGGGTTTCTCTGTAGCTTTGGTGCCCGTCCTGGAACTAGCTCTTGTAGACCAGGCTGGCCTCAAACTCACAGAGATCTGCCTGTCTCTGCCTCCTGAGTGCTGGGATTAAAGGCGTGCGCCACCACCGCCCGGCTTTATCTTTTTACTTTTTAAATTTTTTATTTAATTATTTTTATTGGCTTGGTGGTGAGGTTCGCAGGTGAGTGCCATAGTGTGTATGTGTAAATTGGAGAACAAGTTTTGGAAATCCAGTCTCTTCTCCCATCAGGTGGACCTCAGAGATTGAATGTTTACCCACTGAACCATCTCACTAGCCTTAATTAAAGTTTTAGAACTCGAAGGCCAATAAACAAAAAAATCCAAAGCCAAACATGGAACTGGATGTGGTGGTGTACATCTTTAATCTAGCATTTGGGAGGCTGGGGAGGTACATGTCTGTGAGCCAGTCTGCTTTACAGAGTGGGTTCCAGGCCAGCTAGTGCTACATTGTGAGACCTTGTCTACAAAAGAAAAGAAAAAAAGGAAAGCCAGGTATAGTGGTGCATGCCTATAATTTCAGAATTTGGAAAGTGGATCCAGGAAGGAGGTGGGATCAAAAATTCATCTCAGTGAGCCTTGGTGGTGAGGTGGGAAGAGAAACTTAGTGTTTGCAACTATAAGGTAGACTACATGGTGTGAACCAATGAGGTCCTTTCCTCCTTTTAAAAGCAGCATCTTTAGGTCTTTGGGGTTGGGGGATGTTCAAGACAGGGTTTCTTTGTAGCTTTGGAGCCTGTCCTGGAACTCAGAGATCCGCCTGCCTCTGCCTCCCAAGTGCTGGGATTAAAGGCATGTGCCATTACCGCCCGCCTGGTTAAAAGCAGACTCTTAAGTCACAGGAGAAGACATTGAGAAGTATGTAAAACATTTATATAAACTATTACCCTTGAAGTAGTTAAGTAGTTAATTTGTATAGTGAGATAATTGCCCTTAGTTTGAAAAATGAAGCTAAAAAAGTAATTAAACTTCTAATCTAGACTTACCATGCTTCTTTAGGGTATAATAGTGGCTGGTTTCACTTATTTAGCCCTGAAGATTTGGTCTCTATTCACTTATGTTCTAGCTCGTCAAGCAGTAAAAACACCTCCTCGAAGGCTACCAACTGTGATGGTCCGTTCACCTATAGATTCTGCCTCCCCAGGAGGTGATTATCCACTTGGAGACTTGACTCCAAACACTATGGAAGAGGCTACCTCTGGGGTAAGTATATTTACATTTATTGAAATTGCTTTGCAGAGGGAAATTAAGCCAGCAGAGAGCTGAATAATGGGAAACCACTTTTTGCCTAAAAGCAACTTTTCTTGGTCTGAATGTTAAAGACTATAAGGATGGACCTAAAAGCATTGAGGATTTTGACTTTTTGGTAGATAGGTAAAAAGACTATGTGAATTATTGGTAAATGTATTTAGTCTTACAAAATTTCTGCTGAAGAAAGAGATCATTTCTTTACAAATAAAATAGTAATAGTTTTTTAAGGAATTTGAAAATAACAGGTCGGATGTAATAATTGGGTTGTGGGTTAGAGTGAGTGGAAGAGAAAATACTATGGGAAAGAAGTGTAGATAGTTTCTGGGTATTTCCATTCAGAACTAATAAAATAATAGACACACTAACACATCCAGATTAGTAGGGAACCTTCCATAGTTTGAGAAGTCAGATAAAGGTTCTCTGTTGTCTCTTAGGTAACCCCTGGGACTTTGCCGAGTACCCCAGTCACCTCGTTTCCTGGGATTCCTGACACCCTTCCTCCAGGCTCTGCACCCTTAGAAGCCCCCATGACCCCAGTAACAGATGATTCACCCCAGAAAAAGATGCTTGGACAGAAAGCAACTCCACCCCCCTCCCCTCTGCTGTCAGAGCTCTTGAAGAAGGGCAGCCTCCTGCCTACTAGCCCCAGACTGGTATGGAGACTTCTGTGGGTGTTTGAGAGCTGTGGTGATTTAGTACTTGGAAGGGAATGCCTGGGCCCTTAAATATGACCTGGGGTAAAACAAAAACAAAACAAAAAACAGGAGTGTCCTAGTTAAAGGTTAACTTTAAAAAAAAAAAAGTGCATTAAGTTGGTCCTTGGATCCTAAGGTATCTGAATGTTAATTATTTGTGATTTTCTTCCCCCAGAGAACTCTTGTCACTTAAGTTCTAAACATTATAGTTTAGAGTTTCCCTTCTAAAAGTATTTTTGTGGATACTAAGTTTTAGTTTCAAGAGGTTTATTTGAGCACTGGAGCGTTTTGGGAAGTGGTAGTGAAAGAACTTGGGTGTAGCCTTCACCTCTGTTCTTCCCTGGTAGGTCAATGAGAGTGAGATGTCTGTGGCTTCTGGCCACCTGAACAGCACAGGTGTTCTCCTGGAGGTAGGCGGGGTTCTTCCCATGATACATGGTGGGGAGATACAGCCAACAACCAGTGCCGTTGCAGCCTCCCCTGCTGCCTCAGGTAAGTTATTGTTCATGCTTCTCATGTTTATTATAAAGGAAATAGTCTTGTATTTAAGGCCAAATTATAGTTCTTAGACTGCTTTGGAGCTAGCTTTTCTATTAACATAGTGCTTGAGATTATTGACCCATTTCATATGTGAAATATTAATAGCTTTAATTACCACAGTATAGGTGATAAAAAGACCAATAAAGTTGATAGTGAAGCTATTTCTTTGTGCCTTGTAAAATGTGAAAAGATGCCTGAGATGTCTGAAATTATAAAATAGGGGAAAGAGGTTTAGAACCAGAGATCTGGGCTTCAATCTCATGTCTTTTGTACAATTGATTTTGTGGCCTTGGGTAGATAACTGTTGAGGCTTAGTTCCCTATTTTATTAATGTTGGCAATATATTAGTTCTTGCAAAACTGTGGAAAGATAATAGAGACCCTGGAGATTATAAAATGGGGGAAAAGAGATTTGGAACTAGAGACCTGGTTTGAGTCTCAGATCTACCATACTGTTGGTTTTGTGACATTTGACAAGCAACTTAACTACTGGAGAGTTAGTTTCCTATTTTAGTGGTGGCATATATTTTTTTACAGGGATGTGTTAAGATTAAATGAGAGAATGTGAAGCAAAAATAGTAATACCATATGAACATTACATTAGAGATTGGGTAGGGTCTAGTGGTACACTCCTTTAATCCCAGCACTTGGGAGGCAGAGGCAGACGATCCCTTATGAGTTCAAGGCCAGCCTGGTCTACAGAGTAAGTTCCAGGACAGCTAGGACTACATAGAAACCCTGTCTCAAAACACCCTCCCCCACTCCCCCACCCCCCGCAAAACAAAACACTGGTATTGATTAAAGTGAAGCATGGGCGTATATACAGTGTGCTGAACTTCAGCAGGAGTTGCAGGGCTTTTCCTCGCTTTTCTTTTTCTTCCTTTTTTTGTCTTGTTTTTGAGACGGGGTCTTGCTATAGAGTTCAGGCTGTCCAGGATTTTGTTTTGTAGCCATGGAGCTCTTTCTTCCTCAGCCTCTTGCCTGTCATACCAGTCATTTTATTTTATTTAGTGTGTATTTTTTCCTTAGAGAAAATGTCTACCTGTTTATAGACATCTGATTATATATAGATAGTATATAATCTGGCACTTGGGTTCATTCCTAGCTTGGAAGAAGATCCTAGGTGAGGTTAAAAAAAGTAAGGATGTAGTTATGAGTTTATTCAACACAGGAGTTACTTTCATTCTTTGAAACTGTAAAAAAAATATTGATTGAGTCCTCGAGTGGCTATTGCTTCTTGTTCATGTGCTTTCTTCCCTCATTTTGTGTACCTCTTTGTCTGTTAGGTGCTCCCACTCTTTCCCGGCTTTTAGAAGCTGGTCCTACACAGTTCACCACTCCTCTTCCTTCCTTCACTACTGTTGCCAGTGAGCCTCCAGTTAAACTTGTGCCACCCCCTGTAGAGTCTGTGTCCCAGGCTACCATTGTCATGATGCCTGCGCTGCCAACACCATCCTCTGCTCCGGCTGGCTCCACTCCTGAAAGTGTAGCTCCAGGTTCGTCCCTGACCCACGCCCTGAGCAGCCACAGGACCAAACTTTAGTTAGAGAAAGGTGACCAAGAGCATTATCTCCCATATAGATACTTCTCTTCTGTTCTCCTAGACTTGGATCACCTGTATCCTTAGAAAAACAAGGTTAGAAGTGGGTGGGTATTTAGTGAGTTGGGTGGGGAGGGTTAAGTGTGGAGACATAAGCAGGCTTGAGGGTGTATTCTCACCTCACTCTGTAAATAAAATCAGGGCGAAGAAAACATGGGCAGGAGTGAGTTTTTAACCTTAAGTGTGTCTGACCTTTAGTGTCTACAGCTCTGGTGTGATCTCCGGGTGGTCATTTAATAATGGATAAGCTTCTGAATTGCTGTTTTCTTCCTGTTAATCAGTGAGTCAGCCTGATCCCTGTGTTCCCTGTGATGCCGTGGGGGATCCACATACTGTGACTGTTTCCATGGATAGCAGTGAAATCTCCATGATCATTAATTCTATCAAAGAAGAGTGTTTCCGATCAGGGGTAGCAGAGGCTCCTGGTGGATCAAAGGCTCCAAGCATAGATGGAAAGGAAGATTTAGATCTGGCTGAGAAGATGGATATTGCTGTGTCTTACACAGGTGAAGAGTTGGATTTTGAAACAGTTGGAGACATTATTGCCATCATTGAAGACAAGGTAACTATTTAGCAAAATCCTAAAAAGTCTTCAGGGTACTACATAGACTACCTCTGACTTTCTTTGATTTTCTTAGTAAGGATTGTTTAATTGTACTTTTGTCCATTTTCATCTTTATAATCTGATGTACTACTTATCTTCCCTGCTGTCCTGCTTACTTGTTTGCTCAGCACAAGTGTCTGTCCACTGGTTGCTTCCTCTAAATGGTAAAAGTAGAAAAAGTAGCTTTAGATTCAGCATCTGATTCTATACTGTTAGACTGGGGGGACTTGGGCTTTTTTTGTACTCTCAACAGTTTGTATATTGTGGGACAGGTCGATGATCACCCTGAAGTGCTGGATGTGGCAGCTGTAGAAGCAGCACTATCATTCTGTGAAGAAAATGATGATCCGCAGTCCCTGCCTGGCCCTTGGGAACACCCTATCCAGCAGGAGCGGGAAAAGCCAGCACCTCTTCCGGCACCAGAAATGACAGTCAAACAAGAGAGACTAGACTTTGAGGAAACAGAAAACAAAGGAATCCATGACATCAGGGAATCAGGTGTTGAGATTAAGATGGAACCTGCAGAGCCAGAGCCAGGCATGTCAGGGGCTGAGATAGTAACTGGAGTTGGTCCAGTCTCAAGTATGGCACCACCAGAACTCAGGAGTCAAGACTTAGATGAAGAACCTAGAAGTTCTGCAGGTGGAGAGATTGGTGAAACAGATGGTTCCAGTGGGAAAGACGATGAGATGCCACTTTCAACTGTGAAGGCAGAGGTATTTATATGAATGGGCTGGGAAGAGAGGAGGGTTGTGATTTAGGCAACTTAGGCTCTTGGATTCCTGAGTCTTGGCATATTGCACATAGCCAAAGCCATGGGCTGCAAGTAGTACATACCAAGGCGAACATCAAAATATTAGATAAGGAGGACTGAGGATTCTTTCCTGTGGTCTCATTGTCATTAGAGAATGAACTGTGGGACTTCTAACAGTTTATTAGTAATTAAGATACTTAATCTCTTGCTTTTCAGGCATCTCCTGAAAGCTTGTTGTCTCCATCACATGGGTCAAATCCAATTGAAGATCCTTTAGAGGATCCGCACAAGTTTGAAATATCAGGTGAGTAAAGAAACTTTATGTCTAGCTTGAAATCTCGTCCTTTTGGCTTCTCAGGGTTTGTGGGTTGTGGGCAGGTAGAGGAGAAGACAGGACAGCATGGAAAGAAAGGAGAGCTGCAGGGAAGGATCATGGTCCACAGGAAGGGGAAGGCTAAGGTACAGAATCTTCAGGTAGTCTTTCTCTCCTCTGCAGACTCATTGAAAGAAGAATCAGGGACTATTTTTGGAAGCCAGATAAAGGTATTTCAGACTTTTCTTTATTATTCTTGCCTTATGATTAGATTTTCCCACACTGTGTTATTAAATGAATTTTAGTAAATTCTTACCTTTATCTCCTGGTAAACCTGTAGGGAGTTGGATGAGGAGAAACTGTAGCAGACAGTCTGGTCTAATGGGAACACTATGGCAGCATGTGCTTCCCGTGAGAGTTTCTCTGTATATAGCGCACAAAGAAGTTTTGCTACATCCAGAATGACTCAGAGTGAATAGAGGTGCCAGGAGGAACATTTGGGGAGTCAGGTTACAATTTAGACTACTGAAAGATAATTACCTGGTTTTACCTTAGAATTACTAAAGTAGCGGTAACAAATTTAAAGTAATGTAAGGTGAGCTTGCTCCATCAGCAAAGACATGAAATAAAATGATTATAAAATGATTTTTGATAACTTTGTACCCAGGGTCAGAGTTCCTCTCAAGAGCAAGGGGAAAGAAGGAACGCCTCTTAGCTTAGTCTTAAGTAAGTAGCTTTTTTTTTTTTTTCTTCCTTTAAAAAAGGTCCTGGGCTGTCTTCTTTGTCCAGGTTATAAATTACTTTGCCTTACTTAGTCAGTTAAGTAGAGGGTAGTATAAGTGATAAAGGGCTCAGCCAAAAAAAGTGTGAGGCCATTTCTAGAGCTGATCTAACCCAAAACAGATCTCATTTAATAATGGTTTGTAGGTAGCTTTGCTTGCATTTGTTGACTAATGCACACTATGTCTAAGGATGCTCCAGGTGATGAGGAGGAAGAAGATGGAGTCAGTGAAGTAGCTAGCCTAGAGGAGCCTAAGGAAGAGGATCAAGGAGAAGGCTATTTGTCTGAGATGGATAATGAACCCCCTGTGAGCGAAAGTGATGATGGCTTTAGTATACATAATGCTACACTGCAGTCACACACTCTGGCAGACTCTATCCCAAGTAGCCCTGCCTCTTCACAGTTGTGAGTATATGGGATTCCTTTTTTTATTTTTAGATGGGGTCTCCTGTACCCTAGGTTGGTGTGCAGTTATTACATAGCTGAGGGTGATCTAGAACTCCTACTCCTCTAGCTTCTGTCTCCCGGATGCTGGAATTACAGATTATAGGTGTGAGCAACTATGCTTGCCCTGTGTGTGGGGGTGGGGGTGGGTGGTGTTTGGGGACATTGAACTTTTGAATGCTAGGCATTCTATCATAGAGCCATATCTTTAGCCTTAATTTTGCTTGTTATTTTCCCTTTCTCGGCTTGAAACAAATAGTTGAAGAGAAATAGGGCATTGTTTTTCTCCTTATGCTTAGTAGTACCCCTTGTCTATTTCAGCTCTGTGTGCAGTGAAGACCAAGAAGCAATTCAGGCTCAGAAAATATGGAAGAAAGCCATTATGCTTGTGTGGAGGGCTGCAGCAAATCATAGGTGAGCAGGCATTACCAGCTCCTCATTGTTGGCTCAGGAAGTTATTTCAGTAAGCTATGAGACTGCTGATATTTCTCCTTTTGAGGAATAAATCAGTAATAAACCTATTCTTTTTGGACAGGTATGCCAATGTGTTCCTGCAACCTGTTACAGATGACATAGCACCTGGCTACCATAGCATTGTGCAGAGGTAAGCCATAGTCCAGCTAACATGCCTGACTTAAAATTTGTGTAGACGTAAGTGAATTTTGCTTTAGGTAGTAAATTTAAGGCAAGGGTGTTTCGTTTGATACTATATATCACCCTGGTTGGCCTGGGACTCTATAGACAAAACTATCCTCAAAGTCACAGAAAGTGAGTAATTCCTGCCTCTGCCTCCCATGTGCTGAGATTGGTAAAGGCTAGTAGTATTAGTGTTGAAGTGACCATCGATAATCTAAAAGAATTAATTAATTATCTTTTGTTACTTTTCTTAATGCCTAGTATATAGATGGGCTTTGGGGGGAAATTGAATACATGCTTTTAGATCTTGGTAGCTGAAACTGAAGGTTTATGTGAACAGGACTGTATAGTGATACTGTATTCAGAAATCAAAGTGAAATCCTCCCTCCACAGCCAATTAGCTCTATTTTTTTTTTTTTTAGACCTATGGATTTGTCAACCATTAAGAAAAACATTGAAAATGGACTGATCCGCAGCACAGCTGAGTTTCAGCGTGACATCATGCTGATGTTTCAGAATGCTGTTATGTATAATAGCTCAGACCATGATGTGTATCACATGGCAGTAGAGATGCAGAGAGATGTCCTGGAACAGATCCAGGTACATTGAGGCTCATTTTTGTTTGAGTAGGGATGAAGTGAAGGGAAGAATCATAATGGTGACTTTGCTTGTAGTAGGCATCAGGAGCACAGGTAAGTCAGTCATTTTTCTCTTACTGGAGTTGTATAGGTTTTATCGGTTTGATGGAAGAATTATAATAGAAATTCTATCTTTCTTGGGCAAATGAATTTAGTTTTTGTTGTTGCTGCTACTATATTGCTCTTGTTGCTAGAGATTCAAACTAGTGCTTCACACGGCCTACACAAATGCTGTACCACTGAGCTATATCACGTCCACACCACACCCAGTTTATTCATATTAGAAGTCAAGCCCAGGCACGGCTTCATGTGTGCTAGACAAGCACTGCTCTATCTAAGCTATTTCCCTGGCCCTCTCTGAAGTTTTCAAATCAGTTTTTAAGGTAAGGCTAAGGATGTTTTTAGTTACATAAAATATTCTGGCACAGAGTGCATAATCCCTATTTATCACGAGAAGTCTACTTCGGTCTTAACAATTGTCTCACCACACATCCTTCATGATGCTGACCTTGGAGGACTGTGTGTCTTTGTTAAGTCTGCCAAGTGACTTTAATTGCTAAAAAGTCTTTGTTTTATTTTATTTTATTTAAAAGCTACTTTCGGCTTCTAAATTCTGTAGGAACAGTTAGAATTAAGCCTTTTAGTAAGCCAAGAATTATTGACTAGAAGAGTGTATAAGTGTAGTCACAAAACCTGAAGTATGTTGGTTCTTTCCTGCTGGATTGGGTCTTTGTGGTCAAACTTTTTTTCTTCTCTCTACAGCAATTCTTGGCCACACAGTTGATTATGCAAACATCTGAATCTGGAATCAGTGCTAAGAGTCTTCGGGGGAGAGATTCTACCCGAAAACAAGATGCTTCAGAGAAGGTATGGAGACAGAAATGAAGTCGAAACATCCAGAGAACCTTAAGTTACTCTTACATTGCTAACATTCTGAAGCCAGTGGTGTGCAGATGGATGTGAGGGTGGAGGAGGCCTGCTTCTGTCTGTGACACGAGGGACAGTTTGATTTGAGTGCGTGAATTATTAATCCTCTAGGAGACTGCTGTCGGGTGGGGGTGAAGTAGTTGACAGCAGTTGGTGACTTAGCTCCTGTTCTGGGGTCCTGTGGCTGTGGGATCTCTTTCCTCTTGCTCGAGTTTTACATTTTTGTCTTTGTGCTGTGTGTGTGGTGCTTTTGCCTCTGTCCTGAGGTTTGGGGTGCTTGTGGCTGAGAGTTTCTGTGGAACCTGATCAGTATTTGTTTGTCCTCTAACAGGACAGTGTCCCCATGGGCTCTCCTGCCTTCCTTCTCTCTCTCTTTGTAAGTATTGAATGGCTGCAAGGGGTGATGTTGCCAGAAAGATTCTCAGCTTCTGCTGGGCCTGGGTGGCAGAGGGAAATCCAACATGCAGACTGTGGCAATGTCTTGAAATTCTTTTTATCCATTGAATAAGAAGCTCTTCTTCTGCATTCTAGACTCTTTGCATGTGTTGTGTGTGTGTGTGTGTGTGTGTGTGTGTGTGTGTGTGTGTGTGTGTGTGTGTGTGTGTGTTGGAGGCGGGGGCTGGGGAGCTGGGTGGCTGAGAAGGAACTGACTGTAAGATCGCTGCACTGAAGTATGAAGTGTTCTTAGGGAAAAGGACCTGGGATGCACCTGCTCCTCATTTCTTGCTTCCACCTTTTACCAGTTCTTTACTTACAAGTGGAAGATAGCTCAGAGCAGCAGCTGCTACCTGGCGTTTTTGGCATTTTCCTCGTTTTGGCAGATATTTAACACATACCTTTCCATTTCCTCCTACCTAAACTGAGAGACTTAACACACAAACCCTCAGTAAAATTAAGCTAAAGATCTCAGTGGTAAAGGCACTTGCCGTGGGAGTCTGGTGACCTGAATTTGATCCACAGACCCCAGTGAAAGTGGAAGGAGAGTACTAACTCCATGGCATTGTCTCTGAACTCCACATGTACACCATGGTGTATGTGCTCCTACACATACGTCACACACAGTGATGGCAGTTCTTTAAAAAAAATTCTTTTAAAGATCTCAGTAGCAGTGACCACTTGGGTATAATAGTTGCTGATGAGATTATAGATAAACATAATAGTTCTAGCCTAAAGGTTTTTATTCTTTTGCTCTATAAATTAAATGGCTGACTCTTGATGGTAGAGCAGTGAAGTAAGGGAAAGACCATGATGAAAAACTGTACAGTCTTAAGATCATTGGATAATATTTGAGGGCCTTGTTCTTCTCATCTGTGTAATGGAAGTAATAATGAGTTGAGGGCCAGGAGGATTGCCCCCAGGATCAAGGAATGCCTAGGCTATAGAGTAAGACCCTGTCTCCAAAGAGAGCAAGGGGGAGTACTAGAGAGATGCTCAGAAGTTAAGAACACTAGCTGCTCTTGGAGAGGATCTGGGTTGGCTTTCCAGCACCCACATAGTGCTCACAACTGCCTGTACTTCCAGTTTTAAGGAACCCAAAGCCCTTTTCCGGCCTCCACAGGCACTGCACGCTTGTGGTGCACATATACACATGCAGGCAAAACATTCATACACATTAAATGAAAATAAGGCTTTAAAAGAAGAAGAAGAAAGAATAAGACTGAGATAACCTGTCCAGCCTACCTCACAGGGATGTTGTGAGGATAAAATAAGTTATGAAACTAACTTGGGGGGAAAAAATAAAGTGTTACACAAATGCAAGGTGTTATTTCTTTTTTTTTTTTTAAAGATTTATTATATATACAACATTCTGCCTGCATGTATGCCCACACACCAGAAGAGGGCGCCAGATCTCATTACAGATGGTTATCAGCCACCATGTGGTTGCTGGGAATTGAACTCAGGACCTTTGGAAGAGCAGGCAATGCTCTTAACCACTGAGCCATCTCTCCAGCCCTGCAAGGTGTTATTTCTAACTGTTGGCTATTGACAACTTAATGTTCTAAAAAATTTTAATCCTTGCATATTAGAAATACAGAAATGGTCCAGCCCAGCCAAAGTGTTCACTAGTTCATCTTGCCTATAGACCTGTACCACAAACAGAACACTGTGATGTCTATTCTTTCTTATTGGCCTGCAACAGTGACTCTGGATTCTCATTCGAGTGGCTGGCTATTGCAAGGCCAGTTAATAGGATCTTTTATCTATTGAAGACAGCAAAGTTTTGCACAAGAGGAAGGAGCTGGGCTGCAGGGAGAGAGCAGCAGATGGAAAGAAGCCTGATTGTCCTGATCTCATGGAAAGCAACGGTCAGGAGGTGCTAGGGAACTAGTGCCAGGGTCAGTCTGCAGGAAAGGCCTTTCTTATAGGGACCAGCAACTGGACAGGTATGTTAGCCAAGAACCTCACTCTCCACTGCCCTTTCTGCCTCTCCTACTTTGCATTTTCTCTTCCTGTTCTTACACACAATGTGGGCCTGGGTGGGATGACTGGTAGTCATTCTGTGGGACCCCAGGTGAATACGAAGGCCTTTGTGTTGGCATGAGGAAGATACTGTCCTACAGTTCACTCACAGAATACCAGTGTTCTTTTAGCTGCTCTGGAGAACAGAAAATCCCTTCCACTTCATCCCTTTGGTACTCTCTGCAGATCCATTCCCCCAAGAAATCAAATTCCCAGCATTCCTGTTGTATGTTGTCTCTTACCGTGTAATCAACTCACTCATGTTTCCTTCCTTTCTTTGATATTGTCTAGGATGGGGGAACCAGGGGACGCCGCTGTGCCATTGAAGCAGACATGAAGATGAAGAAGTGAAGCCTCAGAGTTCCCTCTTTGAGCTGAACCTGAACTAGGAATAAACAAGACATAGCTTGGGGCTTGTGGGCTCAGATCCACATTTAATCTTAGTCAAAAGGCTGAGAAGCAGTTATGGGTCCAGAAGAGAAGGTGCCTGGGCCAAATGACATGAGTTGAGAAAATCTCTTTTCAGAGAGTTGGAGTAGCACAATTGCCCGTTTTAGGGCAAAAATCATGGGCTGTGTTAATGCCCTACTGTGTAGCTAGCAGATTGTATGTAGCTAATTTGTACTGTCTTGTGAAGTGTACAGACTTTTTTAAAGAATAAACCTGTGAAGTGTGTGTATATAACAAACAGAAGGAAAACTCTGGCCTTTGGTGTGTCCTTTGTGTTTAAAATGTGTTTTCTTCACCACGGTAACTAATCATGAGGGATGGATTGTTAGAGCTGAGGAGTGGGTTTATAAGCAGTTTGCGGCAGCTGAGTAGCCAAGACTAAAACTCGCAATTAGTGTTTTTAAAAGAATTAATAACGGCTATTTTATTGGACTTTTCTTGAATGTTTGGAAAATGTAAAGATTATCAGGATCTAGTTCATACAATTCCTTAGGGATTTAGCATGGACAAAGGCAGCAGAATAGGGCAGGAATGTTTCAAGCCAGGACTTTCTTTGCTAATGTTGTTGTTTTCTTTTGTTTTTGTTTTTCAAGACAGGGTTTCTCTGTAATTTTTTTGGGAGCCTGTCCTGGAACTAGCTCTTGTAGACCAGGCTGGCCTTAAACTCACAGAGATCTGCCTGCCTCTGTCTCCCAAGTGCTGGGATTAAAGATGTGCACCACCACCGTCCACACTATTGGTATTTCTGTAGGTAGAACTCATGCACAATATTCTTTTGTCTTTTGAGGTAGAGTCTCTGTATTTTGACAAGGCTAGCCTAGAGCTAAAAAATCCTCCAATTTTAATTTCCCCAGTAGTTTGGATTACAGGTGTGTGTACCACACTGGGCTAGAACTGCTGAAGCGACAACAACAGAAACTTACTGTGTATGTAAAGGTTAGTTTCTAAGAGGAAGTTGAGGGCCAGGCGTGTATTTTGGTAGTATAGTGTGGTACAGCTCAACTAGTTCTTGGCAATCTCCAGTACTGGGGGAAAGAAATCACTTGAAAACCAGTAACCCTAGCACTTGGGAACTGGGGCAGGAGGATAGCTGATAGTTTGCGGCCAGACTGAACTGCAGAAGGAGCTCTTGTCTCAAAACTACATTGGTGGGGCCTGCATGGTGTCTCAGTGGGTTCAGGTATCTGCTATCCCTGCAACCCACATGGTGGGAGGAAAGACCTGACTTCTACAAGTTGTGCTGTCCCACACAATGGAGTGTGCGTTCTCATATGTATACGTGTCTGTGCACACACAAGTGTAATTAAAATTTTTAAAAATGTATTAAAAACCTTGTGACCTTAGTTTTATCTATCCTAACTTCTGTTTCTAAATAAAAATATTCGTCAGTAAAATGAACTAGTATGAACCTTTTTAAAAATAAAATTACTAGTAGATCATGCCTTAATTCTTTATTCTTCTTCGAGGAAAAAGTTTTAAGAAGAATATGCCTAAAGCTAGGTGTAGTGGTGCACGCCTCTAATCCCAGCATTTATGAGGCAGAGGCAGGTGGATCTCTTGTGAGTTCAAGGCCAGCCTGGTCTACATAGTGAGTTCCAGGCTAGCCAGGGCTACCTAGTTGAGACCCTGTCATTAAAAAAAAAAAAAAAATGTGCCTAGAAGTCACAAGTCTTACTGCCTAAAATAGAACTGTTTGTAAATTTGAGGGTTTGGGATGTGGTTTAGAGTTTACTTTGAGTCCTAGTCCTTCATGTACCGTTGTGACCCAAGCCTATTCCTGGCACTAGAAGGTAGACAAAGGAGCATCAGTTCAAACTAATAATTGGCTACATAGCAAAGTTCAGTTCACCCGTTATATAACAAGACCCTGTTCAGAAATGTAAAGTTTGCTAAGCTAAGGGAAAAGTTAGTCTTTGAGATGAAATAGAGTTGTGTCCATCCAGGAGTTAGAACATGAAATAAGTCTCAAAGCAGTCCGCAGACAGGCATGCCTTACACACACCAAGGCACTAGAAGCTGGAAAACTGCTGGGCATGGTGGTGCATGTCTTTAATCTTAGCACTCCAGAGGCAGAGGCAGGTGGACCTCTTGAGTCACAAGCGAGCCTAGTCTACAGAGTGAGTGCCAAGCCAGCCAGGGCTGCATGGAGAGACCCAGCCTCAATAAATAAAAATTTTAAAAGTTTTTAAGTAGGGAAAGTTTGTGAATAAAGTATTCTAAAGATAATTTTCGGTTGGTAGAAAAGCTGATGCATGAGTTTACCAAGATAGTAACTATTGGGGGCAAAACTAAGGAGGCGTAGTTAGGACTCATGCTGTTTAGGAGTGAAGTACAGATGAGACAAAAGGCACTCCTGCCTCAACGGTAGCGATTAGGCACGGTGATGCAGCTTTGTAATTCCAGCCAACACTCAGGAAACTTAAGTAGAATTTTGAGTTTGAGGATATATATAGCAAGACACACAAAAGGCAGGGGATGGTGCTCTTGCAGAGAAAGTGAGTTTAGGTCCTAGCACATCAGGCAGCTCACAACTGTTAACTCCAGCAACTAAGGTGCCAGTACTTAACACTGGCATATATACATAAATGGTAATTTTAAATACTTTTTAAAAATCAAGGGAGCAACTTGAACAGAGAAAAAAGTTGAAACTTGAATTTAATGACAAAGCAGAAGATCAAGCTCAAGAATCTATTGAAAGCTGTGGCTAGATGCTGGGGCTGTAGCAGCTTTCCTAGTGTGCTTGAAACCCTGGATTCCGTTTTGCCAGCACATAAACCAGGTCCTTCTCGGCTGCCTACTGAGTGTGAAGCCAGTCTACGTGCCAACCTGTCTTTAGAAGAAAGAAAAACTGCAAAAGACAGTGCTGCTCTTCCAGAGGACCTGAGTTCGAGTCAGAGCACCTACATCAGGTGGCTTGCCACCACTTCTAATCCAAGGGGTCCAATCCCTCCCTCTACCAGCCCATTGACACCTACACACACGCACACACACACACACACACACACACACACACACACACACACACGGCATTTACACACACACCATGTAAAAATAATAAAATTTCCAAATGAATGAATGAATAAGTGCTTCTGTTTTTATTCTGACAGTCAGATGTGACCAGAAGGATGCCAAAGGAACCACAAGTGTTTTGAGACTAATGATTAATAAATTAATAATAGATTAAAAGTTGTATGTACTGAGGAAAAGCTAATCCTCAAGTGTATTGCCTTGCTGAGGCCATGGATATCTGGTGATAAAGCAAGTCTGTAAGCCAGGTATGCTCCAATTCACCCCATTTTTGTCCAGTATGAAATCCAAGTTTGAAAATGGGGTAATATAAACAAGCTATTTTTTTATCCAAAAGATAAATTTTCATCTAATGTCTTTGTTTAGCTGGCTCTTGTGCCTCCTAATGAAAGAAATTTCAAGACCCTTTCTATGAACTTGGAACATAGCAGTGTACTGGGAGTGTTGGTTTGAATTAATTTGTCTTGTTTTTATTTGAGTTAATGCATCTTTTCTGTGTGTTTGCAGGTGCGATGCAAGTGGATCTGGATGAACTCTGGTCGTAATGGCCCCGAGAACTCTGAACTGAGCAACGAGTACAGGTCTGCCTTCAGCTCCTGGAACTCCAGTCTGGATCTTAATATGAGCAATGGGAGGGAAACTGAGAATTCAGATGCAGAGGCTGAAGAACTAGAGGAAAGCATCCCAGAGAGAGAATCTAGTGAGTTCCTTGTGGAAGATGTCGAGAGTGAAGAACCTCAGGAGGAGGGAGAGCAAGGCAACAGCCAGAACCTCCTCCACTTCCTCTCTGAGGTAATGGTGAAGCTATTATTTCCACAGCTGGAAAGATCACACTTCACCCCTTTTCTTCTTCCTTTCCCCTTTCACTGTCTTTTCTTTTCCCCTTCCCTTCCTTCCACCTTCTCTTTTTTCTCATTTTGAGATCAGATCTGGCTGCTTAGCCCAGAAACCCGGCTTCAGCTTCAGCTTCAGCTTTCCAAGGGCTGACATTTGCAAGGCCGCCGCCCTGGCCCACCCAGCTTCTTACCAGAATGCTGTTAGTCTTGTTTACTGGAACGAAGGCTTGGGACTAAAGAGGTGGCTCAGTGGGCTCCTGCAGAGGACTGAAGTTTGGGTCCCAGCACCCACATCAGGCAGCTCACAAATGCTTGTAACTCCAGTTGCAGGGGATCCAATACCCTCTTCTGGCCTCTGAGGACACACACATGCATGTGTCATATATTCAGAAACAAACAAACACACTCACATAAAATTTAATTTTTGTATGTATGTATGTTTCTTTAAGACAGGGTCTCACTATGTAACTTTGGCTGTCCTGGAACTCACTATGTAGACCAGGTTAGCCTGAAACAGATCTACCTGCTTCTGTCTCCTGAGTGCTGGGACTAAGGCATGCACCACCATGCCCAGCAAATAAAAATAAATCTTTAAAAAATAAAAACAAAAACAAGTACCACTGTGGCAGTGGCTGGTTATTATGCCCCCAGCACCTGGTGCTGATATAGAATATGGGCCAAATATATAGTTTGCCTTTGAATGTCCTAAATCCACAGTCTTTAAGCCCCTGGGTCTTAGGAAGTAGAATTTTTTTTTAAAGATTTTTATTATGTATAGTGTTCTATCTTCATGTATGCCTACTCGCCAGAAGAGGGCACCAGATCTCTTACAGATGGTTGTGAGCCACCATGTGACTGCTGGGAATTGAACTCAGGACCTCAGGAAGAGCAATCAGTTCTCTTAACCTCTGAGCTATCTCTCCAGCTCAGAAGTAGAATTTTTTTAGCAATTTATTTAATTTTATTTTATGTACATTGGTGTGAAGGTATCAGATCCACTGGAACTGGAGTTTCAGACAGTCGTGAGCTGCCATGTGGGTGCTGGAAATTGAATTCGAGTTCTCTGGAAGAGCAGCCAGTGCTCTTAACCACTGAGCCATCTCTCCAGCCCAGGAAGTAGAATTTTTATATGCAGTGTTGTCTTATCATGAGTATCCTTGTTGTCCAAGTGTCATTACCTTGGTTAAGGGCTGAGGACCAACATACTGGAACAGTGAATTTACATTTATTCTACAACTACAAAGGAACATGTTCAAGAGAATGTACATCAAGTTCAGCAAGTATCTAGTTCAAATGTTGCCACGTCTATAAAAGAGTTTAAGTTTTCTAGACAGCTGTTCCCAATTAATCACAATTGACACTTGAGATCAAAAATTATACCATAATCTTAAAGAGCTAAGAATTATGTCTACATGTTCACTATGACCCACTACCTTTGATAAAATTTAATAATTGAATGATTAAATGGGTTAAATCTATTTGCCATCCTAGACTTAGTCCTACTGACAGTGTGAGCATGTGGCATCACTGATGCTGGTTCCCATTGCTGTTCCTATGCATCTAATAATAAACTTTGATTGCAGGTAGCTTATTTAATGGAGCCATTGTGCATTAGCAGCAGAGACTCAAGGGGAAACTGTTGTCCTTCATCTGGTTGGTACCAGGCAACAGGAGAGAAGGGAGATGGAAACTACCAAAGTGAAAAAGGAGCCCTGCAGACAGACTGAAGAGCTTGTAGCCAAGCTAGATTTAGTGGCTGAAAAGAAGCTACTGAGAGAATATGGAAAGCCAAAGGCAGCTCCAGCCCCCACAGATATTATACCCTAGAGGGGCTGCCCACAGAGAGTGAAGAGGTAAACAACTTAAATCACCTGGTTACACAGGGAGGCGGAGCAGAGTGGCTACAACACAGCTGGACTCCACAGAGTTAGTTAAACTTCTTGGGTTCAAAGTCTAACTTCAGCACCAGTTTTAGCCATGTGATCTTAAGTGTGTTACTGGATATTTAGAACCCCTGTTTTCTCTGCTCCCAACAGATTAGTGTTCTGCTTTAAAGATTTTTTTTGTGTGTGTGTAAGATTTATTTAATTGCAAGAATGCAGCCAGACATTGTAGCACATCCCTGTAATCCCAGCACTTGGAAGGCTAAGGCAGGAGGACCAGAAGTTCAAGGCCACCCTTGGCTATACCATGAATTTCAAACCAGCATGGGCTATAAGACATCCTGTTTTAAAACCCAAAACAGGGCTAGGGGCGAGCTAAATTGGTAGAATGCTTCCTTAGCATGCATAAAGCCTTGGGTTTGACCCCTAATCCAAATCATCAGGGTGTAAATGATACACACTTGTAACCCCAGCTGTCCAGAGGTGGCTGCGGGAGGATAAGAGTTTTGAGGTTATCCTCAGCTGCATCTAAGTCCAGCTTGAGGCAAATAAGATTGGGTTGCAAACAAAGGAGACAGTTCAGTGGAGTCTAGTGATACACACCTGTAGTTCCAGTTACTGGGGAGTCTGAGGTGAAAGGATCATGTGACCTTGGG